ATGATCTACCATCACCTGACGGTCCAGTGACTCACAATAATGTCCCGCCTTGTGACTTCGTTCACAAGCGGGTCATTTCTGTATTTTCATATTAAATCCAATAGATATTCACTGAATTTAATATGAAAATGGAATCCAATGGATTTCGGGTCACATCACTACATAATGAATAAAAATATTCGATTTCATCGATAAATTCATCATCATCACTATACTACAATATAAATTAATTATTTTTCTTAAATAGTAAATTTTATATAATATTGGATAAACATTTAAATTACAGAAAAGATTGTGTATTCAATTGGTAACGCAATAATTTCTGATAAATCAAGATTACTGCATTCAGTAATATTTAATTCTTTAAGATTGATGAAACGTTCTATGTCAATGTCCTTTAGATCACAATTATCTAAAGATAATAGTTTAACAATATCGAATCTGAATTCTGAATTAAACTTCATGATTGACTTGTCTAAAAATAGATAATTATCTTTATCGAGTAAATACGTTTTATCATAGAAAGGCATCGAATCGGAACATGAAAAATACAAAAGTGTGTCAATTTTTATACATTTTTTTAATGATGGAATTAAAGGGTCAAAACCTTTCCTATCTTCATAATGAAGATTCCAAAATGTTCTAACATACAGTTTTAAAATAAACTACAATACGATAAAAATCTCATCCTAAAAATTAAAATGTCAAAAAAAGATCAAAACATTGGTTTACTGCCTACACTGTATTGAATAATGTTTTGAACTATATAGAGTGTCCAGAATTCTGCGGTGTATAATTCTGCTCGCTCTAAAAATATCTTATTTAGTTTTTAAAAAACGATTAAAGTCACGTTTATCTTATGGAGACAATACAAAAAAATATTTTTAGAGTGAGCAGATTATGCACCGCAGAATTCTGGACACCCTAACTGAATTGTGAATTGGGTCGTGAATTCTATGAATTCTAACCTTTTTTTTTTATTGTACGTAGTCTATAATACAAGTACTTTCTTATTTTTATATTTAAAACGAGATATGTAATAAATTTGAAAAGAATGCGGCCCTTGAAGTTGGGGTTTCGTTTCATTTTTATATATAGTATTCGCTTGTTATTTGGTTTTTATAAACTTACCAAGCCAGTTTAAAAACTACAAACTACTAGAACTTTTAGAAAAGGTTACAAGCTACGATCACAAGGTACGAGTTTTAATTTAAACAAAACTTGTTAGGGTTTAGAAATCTTGCAATTAGAGAGAATTTGAACTTGAATTACTACTAATATAGCAGTTTAAAGTCTAATGGGTTAAAACTAAAACTATTACCGTAATGGCGCGTAATAACGCGCATCTGCGCGTTATTTTGAAACCCTGTGCGTTATTCGGGACGCGCATGCGCGGTAATTTGAATCATTTTGACAAATTTGGATTACCCTACTTTTATTAATAAATATGTATATTAATGGATGCATTATTTCGGGACGCGCATGTGCGTTATATTTCGAGTCAAATATGCAATTTTCAAGAAAAGGCGTGTTTCGAAATAACGCGCATGTGCGTTATTACGCGCTATTACGGTACTAAAAAAACAATTTATTAAAATTCGAACAGGTTAAACCAGACTTTATTATGGACGATGTTAGCTTGGTATTTTAAAAAAAGAATCTATCATATTAAAAATTGCTGGGTTGGATTAAATTAAAACTAAGATACAGTTGTAATTCGTAACTTAAAAAAAAAACATTTGTAAATTTTTTTTTTTTTTTATTAAAAATTACACAATTTTAAATAATATCTTAAATACATCGATTAATAGTGGGCTTGGTGCTGGGAAAAGAGGCGAAAGGGAAAAGGAACAAAAGAGAAAAGGGTCGAAAGGACGAAATTGACAAAAAAAACCCCCTTACAAAAAATCAATTATCTCATAAACTATCGTTCAGAATCATTTAATTTTGGTATCATTTGATTCGTCTCAGTGAGTCGAATCGAATGATACCAAAATTATATGATTCGGAACGATAGTTTATGAGATAATTGATTTTTTGTAAGGGGTTTTTGTTTGTCAATTTCGTCCTTTCGACCCTTTTCTCTTTTGTTCCTTTTCCCTTTCGCTCCTTTTCCCAGCACCAAGCCCAAATAATCTTAAACAGTGTATAATCAACACGATAATTATTGTTTTTTAACACACCGCTCAACAAACCTATAGAAAAAAATATAAAAACATAGATTTAATTAATCTAAATAAATTATAAAACTTGTATTTCACATTATATGTATGTCTAAATTTCTTAATTAAACAAGTAAAATAAAATAATATAAACTTAAATAACTTATCTTAAACGAAACTAAATAAAAAAAATAGTGTATTGGTAAGTATATATTAACAAAAGTGAATAGCTTAAATATATCAATTAATAGATGATCTATACGCAAAACAGTTTTCCTTGATTTTCTTCGTTACTTTAATAATGCACCAGCATTTCAAAGTTTGATTTTGCCGAAAGCTCTCGTTCAGACGCGTCTTGTGAAACACTTTTTGGGTCGCAAATTTGCAAACCTGAAAAGAATGTGTTGAAAGTAGACAAAATAATGGCCCATGTTTAAGAGTATGTTATTTTATAAGGAGAAGTTCTTTGCTTATGTTTTTGATACCTTTTAGCTCGTAGAAACTTCAGCAATAATTTTGTCTTAGGGAACATAGCGTACTTTACTAAGCTTTTAGGTAAAATTTTTAAAAATGTAATTTCGTCGATTTGTGTAATTTATGAAAATCATATGACAAAATTTTAGATGTGACAAATCGGGTGCCTGATAACTTTTACATTATATAGTGCTGATTATTGCACCAGCATTACTAGACTTTATGAGCCGGCTCTACGAGCATTATTCACGTAACAAAAATTTGACTTCAGAACTCATACAAACTTATGCGAAATTATATAATACTTATTCTACCGATAATTTTATCATTATAAATGTTGATACGTTCAATGTTATAAATTTTTAGTTGAATATTTTATGTTTAGTTTGTGCGAAAACTTATGGAGAAGGTTAAAATATTGACAAGAAATATAAAAACCTCCGGATATAAAATAGGCTTTTATAATAAACATATTACACGAGTAGTGCCGACATTAAAAAGTTAAATATGGTCAAGAATTTTGTCGATTGTTTAAAGATATGACTCAAGAATCCGTTCAAAAAAAATCTTGATTTTATTAATACATCAATAACTTCGAAAGTATTTGAGAAATCAACTTATAAAAGACTTGCTAACATTTAGAATTTGCAATTTTCAAATGATAAGCTTTCTAAATTT